TATATAGCGTGTATGGGGTGTATAGGGTGTGTGTGTGTGTGTATATAGTGTGTATAGTGTGTGTTTGTGTGTGAGTGTGTGTATAGGGTGTGTGTGCGTGTATAGTGTGTGTGTATATAGTGTGTATGTGTGTATAGTGTGTGTGTGTGTATAGTGTGTGAGTGTGTTTGTGTGTATAGTGTTTGTGTGTATAGTGTGTGTGTAGTTGTGTGTGTATGTGTGTGTGTCTGTGTGTATAGTGTGTGTATAGAGTGTGAGTGTGTATAGTGTGTGTATAGTGTGTCTGTGTGTGTCTGTGTGTATAGTGTGTGTGTGTCTGTGTGTGTGTGTGTGTGAGGCAATAAGCAATCCAAAACATGTAGTCACATATATTTTTATTGTAAAGAACTATTCCAAAATAGCAGAATATTGCAGAAGATGAGTGAAAAGAAAAAAAAGAAGGTAGAGAGAACAACAGAGAAAAAGAAGAAAATCCACACTTGACTTTGGCAAGACTTTTTGAAGCTAAATATATCAAAAGTCCACAATAAAAGTAAGAAACTTTCTTCTTTCTTTCCCGTGTGTGTGTTTGTGTGTGTATGTGTGTATAGTGTGTGTGTGTGTGTGTGTGTGTCTGTGTATATAGTGTGTGTCTGTGTGTATAGTGTGTGTGTGTATAGTGTGTGTGTGTGTGTATAGTGTGTGAGTGTGTGTATAGTGTGAGTGTGAGTGTGTGAGTGACGCGTGTCTCTGTCGCAGGACTCCGTGGAAGCGCTGCTGTTTCTCCGGTGACGGTGAGTATATCGTGGCAGGATCGGCGCGGCAGCATGCGCTCTACATCTGGGAGAAGAGCATCGGGAACCTGGTGAAGATCCTCCACGGGACGCGAGGAGAGCTGCTGCTGGACGTCGCCGTACGCTCTTGTCATCAGTTTATATAGTAGCTATGTTATCGACTTGATTCATATTCTTAATTTTTATGTTCATGTTTTTATTTAAAAATAGTTTTATTGTTCCAGTGATTTATTCTCTGTGTGTGTTTTTGTCATCTCTATTAGTTTTACATAAGTTTTTTATTATTTCAGCTTCAGTTTTAGTTATTTATATGGTAATTGCAACTTTTTATCTCACAATTCTGAGTTTATATCTCGCAATCCTGACTTTCTAAATTCAGATTGACAAGAAGAAAAATCCAAATAGTTTCTTATTTGATTATAAACGTATTGTCATTTTTTTATTTTAATGAATTTCTTTCAAATATATATAATACATATAATAGTAATAAATGATGGTGCCAAACTAATCATTTTTGTTTAGTAATAACATTATTATAATTTTTAATGTTATTGTTATTTTTACAAGTCTCATTAAAATACATAATAGAAGAAATAAGAAACAATGATGCCAAACTATTTATTTGTATTCTTTTTTTTTTTTGATTATATTATTTTTTTTTCATCTCATTTAAATATATAATATAAAGAATGATAATAAACAATTATGCTGTTTATTATTACATATTTTTACAAATTAATATTTATTTATTTGTACTAATATTATTATAATAAGTAAAAAATTTTAAAAGTCTAATTGTGGGATAAAAAAAATGCAATTACCTTTTTTTATGTTTTTATTCCATGACATAATTGTAGTGCTTGACCTTAAACTTTAGAAAATGAGAAATGTTGCCTTAGCCTCTAAATGAAATGTTTCTGAGTATATTTTATTTCAGTTAGCCTTTATTTTAAGGAGCATGTTTTTAGTTCAGTGACTGGTGTGTTTGCAGTGGCATCCGGTGCGTCCGATCATCGCCTCCATCTCCAGCGGCGTGGTGTCCATCTGGGCTCAGAACCAAGTGGTGAGTGAATCAGCTCAGTTCAGCTCAGAGCCGCCTCTCGTCTTCCTGTGTGTGTAGACTGTGTGTGTCTCTGCAGGAGAACTGGAGCGCGTTTGCGCCGGACTTTAAAGAGCTGGACGAGAACGTGGAGTACGAGGAGAGAGAATCTGAGTTTGACATCGAGGACGAGGACAAGAGCGAGCCGGAGCAGACCGGTAAACACACACACACACACTCTCTCACTCACACACTCTTACACTCTCTCTCTCTCTCATTCTCTCTCTCTCTCTCACACACACACACATGTACACTCTCACCATTATACACATTTGTGTCCTCATAAACCATATATACCTGTACACTCTTATACACACACACTCTCTCACACACACACACACTCTCTCACACACACACTCACACACACACACACACTCTCTCTCTCTCTCTCTCTCTCTCTCTCTCTCTCTCTCTCTCTCTCTCTCTCTCTCTCTCTCTCTCTCTCTCTCTCTCTCTCTCTCTCTCTCTCTCTCTCTCTCTCTCTCTCTCTCTCTCTCTCTCTCTCTCTCTCTCTCTCTCTCTCTCTCTCTCTCTCTCTCTCTCTCTCTCTCTCTCTCTCTCTCTCTCTCTCTCTCTCTCTCTCTCTCTCTCTCTCTCTCTCTCTCTCTCTCTCTCTCTCTCTCTCTCTCTCTCTCTCTCTCTCTCTCTCTCTCTCTCTCTCTCTCTCTCTCTCTCTCTCTCTCTCTCTCTCTCTCTCTCTCTCTCTCTCTCTCTCTCTCTCTCTCTCTCTCTCTCTCTCTCTCTCTCTCTCTCTCTCTCTCTCTCTCTCTCTCTCTCTCTCTCTCTCTCTCTCTCTCTCTCTCTCTCTCTCTCTCTCTCTCTCTCTCTCTCTCTCTCTCTCTCTCTCTCTCTCTCTCTCTCTCTCTCTCTCTCTCTCTCTCTCTCACACACACACACACACACACTGCTGTATATGACACTGGTGTGTGTGTGTGTGTGTGTGTGTCAGGAGCGGACGCTGCCGAGGACGAGGAGGTGGATGTCACGTCAGTCGATCCCATCCCAGCATTCTGCAGCAGGTCAGTCATTGTTTTTAACATCATACAGTCACATACACGTTTCTGCTGTTCGTTTTCTAGTTTTGATGGTCATGTTTGTTTATATTGTTTAATAAAATTGTGACATTTGCAAAATGATGTTAAATTTCTTCCAATAATTTCACATTATTGTTAATATCATCATACAGTTTCAAGTGTTTTTTAGTTTTGACATTTTTATTTGTTCATATTGTTTAAATCGGTTTATTTTTCGCAAAATAAAATTTAAATGTAAGTCACTAAAGTTTGTTATTTTTAATTATAATCTTACAGTGCAAATGTGTGTTTTTTTTTTTTTTTTTGACAATCGCAAAATGAATTTTAAATTTCGCTATATTTACCATAATTTTAAATATCATATAGTTTCATGTGTATTAGTTGTAGTTTTTTAGTTTTGATGTTTGTTCATATTGTTTTAATTTAGTTTCGCTAATTTTTTTTTTATTCACTATATTTGACAATTTATAATATCATGCCGTTTTAAATGTGTATTTGTTTTCTCGTTTAGACGTTTTTGTTTGTTCATATCGTTTAATCAGGTTTTTGGCGTTCACCGAAAAGTTTTCATTAAATTTGCTGTATTTTTAGTTTCATACGTGTTCGTTATGACGTTTTTTGTTTGCTTAAACCAGTTTATTTTTTGCAAAATAAAATTTAAACGTAACTAGCTAAATGTTGTTATTTTTTAATGATTATCTTACAGTGCAAATGTATGTGTTTGTTCGTTTTTTAGTTTTGGTTTGTTCATATTGTTTAATCCAGTTTTTGACATTCGCAAAATGAATTTTTTAATTTAATTCGTTATATTTTTACATAATTTTAAATATCGTACAGTTTCGTATGTATTAGTTGTAGTTTTTTAATTTTGATGTTTGTTCATATTGTTTTAATTTAGTTTCGCCGATTTTTTTTTTAATTCACTATATTTTACATAATTTATAATATGCCATTTTAAATGTGTATTTGTTAGTTTTTTCATTTAGACGTTTTTGTTTGTTCATATCGTTTAATCAGGTTTTTGGCATTCACCGAAAAGTTTTCATTAAATTTGCTGTATTTTACATTATTTTTAGGTTCATACGTGTTCGTTATGACGTTTTTTGTTTGCTTAAACCAGTTTATTTATCGCAAAATAAAATGTAAACGTAAGTAGCTCAATTTTGTTATTTTTAATGATTATCTTACAGCGCAAATGTGTTTGTTTGGTTTTTTGTTTTTGTTTGTATTGTATAATCAAGTTTTTGACATTCGCAAAATGAATTTTTGAATTTAATTCGTTATATTTTTACATAATTTTAAATATCGTACAGTTTCATATGTATTAGTTGTACTAGTTGTTTTCTCGTTTAGACGTTTTTGTTTGTTCATATCGTTTAATCAGGTTTTTGGCATTCACCGAAAAGTTTTCATTAAATTTGCTGTATTTTTAGTTTCATACGTGTTTCTTAGGACGTTTTTTGTTCGCTTAAACCAGTTTATTTTTCGCAAAATAAAATTTAAACGCAAGTAGCTAAATCTTGTTATTTTTAATGATTATCTTACAGTGCAAATGTGTTTGTGTTCGTTTTTTAGTTTTGGTCTGTTCATATTTTGATATTCACGTTTACATTTTAAATGTTAAGTGCACAATTTTGTTATTTTTAATATTATACAGTTTCTAAGTTGTTTTAAGTTTTTTAGTTTGTTCTTATTGTTTAATTCAGTCTATTCAGAAAATTTGTTTTATATTTCATTCTCTGACGTTATTTGTAATCTTACAGTAGTAATTTCCGAGTGTATTTTCGCGGCATTTGCAGTGACGAGGAGCTGGAGGACTATAAAGCGCTGCTGTATCTGCCCATCGCTCCGGAGGTGGAGGACCCTGAGGAGAACCCGTTCGGCCCTCCGCCCGACGCCGCGGGTCAGAACGCCACGCCCGACGATGGCTCCGCCCACAGCGGCCCCGGCGACAAAAAGCAGCGGCAGCCGTCGTCCGACGGAGGGCCGCCCAAGAAGAAGATCCGCACCACCACCATCGAGCTGCAGGGCGTCCCGAACGACGGTAAGAGAGTCGCTCGCTGCGGCCGCCGCGCTCGGCATGATGTCACTTCCTCTGACGCCTGTGTTTGTGTCTCGCAGAGGTCCATCCGCTGCTGGGTGTGAAGGGCGACAGTAAGTCCAAGAAGAAGGCAGCGGGGCGGCCCAAGGGATCGAAAGGTAAAGACAAAGACTCTCCGTTCAGACCCAAAGTCTGCTGGGACAGAGCAGAGGGGCTGGGGACGCCAGGTAAGACGACCTTTGACCCCTGTGTCCCGCCTGGGTCCGGTGCGGCTTGAGCTCAGCTGTGATTGGCTGCTTCCTGCTTGCCTTCCTGTCCTTCCTGCTCTGACCTCCTCGATGTGCGAGCGAATGCTTCAGGTCTACTGTCCTCCCCCGATAATTCCCATGATGCCCTGCAACAAAACACGCGTACTAAAACCGGCCTAATCATTAATTCAAGATACTAAACAAAAACAAAGGCTGTTATTGGTGGCGTTTCAATTCTAACATTTTTTTTAATTTACTCAAATTAGTTTTGAATGCAAATCTTTTAAAAGATTCAGATTCAGACATGAATCAAGATGAGCGAATCGTATGCTTATATATATATAATCATGATTTAAAAGCAGCATGATTCACGAGTCTTTTTGACCGAGTCATTAAAATAATTGGTTCAAATGAGTCATTTGTCAATTGGACTATGCAGCAGTGTTATTTTAGTATTATATACTTTCATAGTATTTATTAGCATGTTTTTATATTGTTTTATACAATATGTTAACATTGTTGTATATTTATAGTCTAAAGTATTTAGTATTGTTTTGAATTTGTTAAATTTATTTAATTTTTTTGTTAAATTTCTAGTCTTCATTAATGTTTTTTATATTGTTTAACATATTAATAACTTGAATTGACTCTGTCCTATTCAAAGTATATACTTTTGTAGTATTTTTTTTTATTGTTTAATATATTATTATTTTTACATATTCATGTTTTCATTTAAATAATATAATATTATATAAATTATTTAATTTTAGTTTTGGTCGGTTTGTTTTCCTATTTAGTCTTAGTAATTTTTTTTAACTTAAATAGTAACTTATTTTATTTCACTTCACCATTTCTAAATTTAATTTAAATTTTTCATCGAATATTTCGATTTTATTTTATTTCAGCTTTATTTCATTAACTGATTTTTAATCATCTTAGTTCAGTCGTACGATTCCCAGCTGTGATTTTCATATTGTTCGTATCTTGCATTGAAGCGTGCGAATGATTCGCTCTCGATCATATATGCAAAAATATCCCATAAATGGATGGAAATTAGCTTTGGTGCAGATTTGCATTGCTTTGTCGCTTCGCTCTTTGGGCCTTTACGTTGACCTGAAGGATTTAGCAAGTGTTTTTATTTTTAAAAAAAATGTTGTTTTACATGTAGGTTTGTTTAATTTAACCGTACGAATGCTGTTCTTTCAGGCAATCAGGTCTCGTCGATGTACAAGCAGCATGAGGTTCAGGGTTTGGACTGAAGCTGAAGGCCTCTGGCGCCCCCTGTCTGTGTGGATGAATGACGATGCTCTTTTATGGACTCTACGGACTGTACTTGTGTTGCATTTTTACAGAAGGACCTTACAGCTCAATGAAGCCCGTCTAATCAGTTTCCTTGCATAGAGAGAGTGATAGGAAGAGGGAATCATTTTTTTTTTTATTTAGAGTAGATGGATCTGTGTCTGTGCACTAGTTGGGTCAGATGTCTTATATTTGTTTTGAGTGTTGTTTTTTCTGAGACTGGTCGTGTTTTGTTTTTTTTATACATATTAAACCAGTTTTGTGTTTTGAGAGTGGTGTGTGTGTGTAAAATGTGTTTTGGTACAATATTTTTAGAGTTATGAAGGACGTCAGATCCGCGTCATGTTCAGCAGCGGCAGCTCTTAAAGTAACAGCAGCCAAAATATCCTAATTACCAGCTGCTGTGATGTCTGTTAATCAAAGATCAAAATAAAAAAAGGAAATCGGTAACTTATGTAGCTTTAAGCTTTAATTTATCTCTGTTTAATTTAGAATTTAGTGTTTGATAACTTTATTCAATTATATTTTCTACTTGCTGAAGGGCACAGTTTATGTGAAGATGGTTTTAAGTTCACTTAAATTAGAAGTTATTTTTTAAAGTCTAATAAATGTTAAAATTGATAGCTTTCAATTATGCTGTAATGTTGAAATGCTGTAGTCAATGGTTAAATATTAGGAAAAAAATCATTGAGACTTGACCTTCAGTCATAAAAAAGATGGTATTAAACTAATAAAAATATACTTTGTTGTTTCTACATCTATTTGAAGATTGAAAGTGAAATTATTGCAGTGTAAAATTATATTGAAAAACTTTAACGTTGGGTGGGATTAATCGCGATTAATTTCAGAAAAAAAATATTTTTTTAGCCATGATTCATGAGTCCTTAAAAGAATCAGTTCAAAAGAGTCATTTGTTTGTGAATTGGACTGTGCAGCAGTGTTATTTTATTATTGTTTATATACTTTTATAGTATTTATTTATGATGTATTTATATTTTTTATAGTTTAATGCTAATAAACTTTAACGTTAGGTGGGATTAATCGCGATTAATTTCAGAAAAAATGTGCGATTAATTAGTTATTTTTTTAGTTAATCGATAGACCGCACTAGTTTATATACAATCATGATTCAAACGCGGCATGATTCATGAGTCTTTTTGACAGAGTCATTAAAAGAATCAGTTCAAAAGAGTCATTCGTTTGTGAATTGGACTGTGCAGCAGTGTTATTTTATTATTGTTTATATACTTTTATAGTATCCAACATTAAGTGGGATTAATCGCGATTAATTAGTTATTTTTTTAGTTAATCGATAGACCGCACTAGTTTATATATAATCATGATTCAAACGCGGCATGATTCATGAGTCTTTTTGACTGAGTCCTTAAAAGAATCAGTTCAAATAGTCATTTGTTTGTAAATTGGACTGTGCAGCAGTTATTTCATTTATTCTGATGTATTTAGATTTTTTTATAGTTTAATGCTAATACATAATTTTATTTAAATGTATATTTTTTATGATGTCACTTCCTCTGACGCCTGTGTTTGTGTCTCGCAGAGGTCCATCCGCTGCTGGGTGTGAAGGGCGACAGTAAGTCCAAGAAGAAGGCAGCGGGGCGGCCCAAGGGATCGAAAGGTAAAGACAAAGACTCTCCGTTCAGACCCAAAGTCTGCTGGGACAGAGCAGAGGGGCTGGGGACGCCAGGTAAGACGACCTTTGACCCCTGTGTCCCGCCTGGGTCCGGTGCGGCTTGAGCTCAGCTGTGATTGGCTGCTTCCTGCTTGCCTTCCTGTCCTTCCTGCTCTGACCTCCTCGATGTGCGAGCGAATGCTTCAGGTCTACTGTCCTCCCCCGATAATTCCCATGATGCCCTGCAACAAAACACGCGTACTAAAACCGGCCTAATCATTAATTCAAGATACTAAACAAAAACAAAGGCTGTTATTGGTGGCGTTTCAATTCTAACATTTTTTTTAATTTACTCAAATTAGTTTTGAATGCAAATCTTTTAAAAGATTCAGATTCAGACATGAATCAAGATGAGCGAATCGTATGCTTATATATATATAATCATGATTTAAAAGCAGCATGATTCACGAGTCTTTTTGACCGAGTCATTAAAATAATTGGTTCAAATGAGTCATTTGTCAATTGGACTATGCAGCAGTGTTATTTTAGTATTATATACTTTCATAGTATTTATTAGCATGTTTTTATATTGTTTTATACAATATGTTAACATTGTTGTATATTTATAGTCTAAAGTATTTAGTATTGTTTTGAATTTGTTAAATTTATTTAATTTTTTTGTTAAATTTCTAGTCTTCATTAATGTTTTTTATATTGTTTAACATATTAATAACTTGAATTGACTCTGTCCTATTCAAAGTATATACTTTTGTAGTATTTTTTTTTATTGTTTAATATATTATTATTTTTACATATTCATGTTTTCATTTAAATAATATAATATTATATAAATTATTTAATTTTAGTTTTGGTCGGTTTGTTTTCCTATTTAGTCTTAGTAATTTTTTTTAACTTAAATAGTAACTTATTTTATTTCACTTCACCATTTCTAAATTTAATTTAAATTTTTCATCGAATATTTCGATTTTATTTTATTTCAGCTTTATTTCATTAACTGATTTTTAATCATCTTAGTTCAGTCGTACGATTCCCAGCTGTGATTTTCATATTGTTCGTATCTTGCATTGAAGCGTGCGAATGATTCGCTCTCGATCATATATGCAAAAATATCCCATAAATGGATGGAAATTAGCTTTGGTGCAGATTTGCATTGCTTTGTCGCTTCGCTCTTTGGGCCTTTACGTTGACCTGAAGGATTTAGCAAGTGTTTTTATTTTTAAAAAAAATGTTGTTTTACATGTAGGTTTGTTTAATTTAACCGTACGAATGCTGTTCTTTCAGGCAATCAGGTCTCGTCGATGTACAAGCAGCATGAGGTTCAGGGTTTGGACTGAAGCTGAAGGCCTCTGGCGCCCCCTGTCTGTGTGGATGAATGACGATGCTCTTTTATGGACTCTACGGACTGTACTTGTGTTGCATTTTTACAGAAGGACCTTACAGCTCAATGAAGCCCGTCTAATCAGTTTCCTTGCATAGAGAGAGTGATAGGAAGAGGGAATCATTTTTTTTTTTATTTAGAGTAGATGGATCTGTGTCTGTGCACTAGTTGGGTCAGATGTCTTATATTTGTTTTGAGTGTTGTTTTTTCTGAGACTGGTCGTGTTTTGTTTTTTTTATACATATTAAACCAGTTTTGTGTTTTGAGAGTGGTGTGTGTGTGTAAAATGTGTTTTGGTACAATATTTTTAGAGTTATGAAGGACATCTGTGGAATAAATCAACCCGGTGAGCCTCCATTTTGTTTCCTGCACGGACAGTTTCCGTCCAGCAGGAGGCGTCAGCGGCGCGGGAATGAAAGCGAGCAAGAGAGACATTTTTCTGTTATTCGGTTCCATTTTGTGCTTTTCTACTGTTGGATTCATATTTTTAGAGTTATGAAGGACGTCTGTGGAATAAATCAACCCGGTGAGCCTCCATTTTGTTTCCTGCACTGACAGTTTCCGTCCAGCAGGAGGCGTCAGCGGCGCGGGAATGAAAGCGAGCAAGAGAGACATTTTTCTGTTATTCGGTTCCATTTTGTGCTTTTCTACTGTTGGATTCCATTTTGTGTTTCTATGTTTTATTCACAAACATCTAAAGACTGAAAGTCAGACGAAAGTAAGTGAGCATCTGAGAAACCCCGCTCGTTAGTGCTGGTATTAATCAGATTCCTACTGAGGCTCAAAGCATCACTGTTCCTCACGTGATACTTTCTAATGTCTCCAAATAGTTTGAAAGCACATTTTCGACACGTAAGAAAAGTCATGCGTTAGTAAGTCATAATCATAAGATGAAAAGTCGAAATTATTACTTTAAGAGTAGAAAATGACATAATTGTGATTTTCCAAATTTGCCTTTTTTTTACCTCGTGACTTAGTATGTAATAATTTCGATTGTTAAAGTCATAATTGTTATTTTTTACCTCATAATTATGACTTAGTATGTCATAATTTCAACTTAAAATCATAATTGACTTTTTAAGTCATGATTTCGACTTTTTACCTCAACTTAATAATGTAAAAGCCATAATTTCGACTTTGTACCTCATGATTATGACTTAGTATGTCATAATTTCAATTTAAAATCATAATTGACTTTTTAAGTCATGATTTCGACTTTTTACCTCAACTTGTAATAATGTAAAAGCCATAATTTCGACTTTTTACCTCATGATTATGACTTAGTATGTCATCATTTCAATTTAAAATCATAATTGACTTTTTAAGTCATGATTTCCACTTTTTACCTCAACTTGTAATAATGTAAAAGCCATAATTTCGACTTTTTACCTCATGATTATGACTTGTGTAATAATTTCGACATTTAAAGGCATAATTTCGATTTAGTATGTCAATTCCGAACTTTAAATGTTCGATTTCACGTCAAAATTTCGACTCATGATTATCATAATTTTGACTTGTTGCCTATTCGACTTTTAATGTCATAATTTCGGCGTTCATAAAATGACTTTTAAGACCATTTTTAAGCGTTTTTTACGAGGCAGAAATTAAATTAGGATAAATATGAGTAGTATTTGTCAAATAGTAATCCAGCCCTTACGAAAATTAGCCATGGTTTTACCAAATTATACCAAACAACCATGGTTACTTTAGTTAAACCATGGTAACCCATGGTTTTGCTACACTAACCATAGTTTAACCATGGTATTTGTAGTAAAACTAATCAATACGCCAAAAAAAAACCATGATTACTTCACTTTTACTACAATAAGTGACATGAGGCCAAGTATGGTGACCCATACTCTGAATTAGTGCTCTGCATTTATCCCATCCAAAGTGCACACACACAGCAGTGAACACACACACACCGTGAACACACACCCGGAGCAGTGGGCATTTTTTTGCTGCGGCGCCCGGGGAGCAGTTGGGGGTTCGGTGCCTTGCTCAAGGGCACCTCAGTCGTGGTATTGAAGGTGGGAGAGAGCGCTGTACATTCACTCCCCCCACCTACAATCCCTGCCGGTACGAGACTCGAACCCACAACCTTTGGGTTACGAGTCCGACTCTCTATCCATTAGGCCACGACTTCCCATCCTTCCCATGGACTAAACCATGGTTAATTTTCTAAGTAACCTGAACATGTCAAGGAATTTTTAATCTTTGTGGTCAATATACATTTTCATAGTCGAGCTAGAAAAAGCTAAAAATTGCTCTTTGAAAATGCAATCTTTACGATGTTGATATTCATGAGGAAAGTCTGTGAAACTGAGCGCGGGATTTCACTCGCTTCGTTCAGAGACTCTCAGTTTCTGAATTAAATAAAGGTTTGATGTCATGACATTTCAATTATGAATGCTCACTTCAATAACGTTCCAAAAAAAAAAACTCAACAAACTTGAAGTAGCTAATTAAAATCTCATCTTTATTACAACCACATGTACATCATATTCCAAGAAAATGATTTCTAAAAGTGGAAACGAGCAAAATCCAATGAGAGGCAGAGTTTTTCTGTTAATGTTCCATCCATTATTCACAGCGTTTGACTCACGGTGGAAATTACGTGATTTCACCTCAGAAACGAGGGCGAGAGAGCGAGATGTGTCGCAGAGAGTCACAGTTGTGTGAGGAAAAATTGTAAACACTCCAGTGCTAGTGCACCTAAAATAGTGCAGGTGGGAAAAATCCTGATTTTCTGCTCAAATAATAAAAACAAATCCGCAAACCTCCCACGCTGACACAGGTGACTCCAAAAATACTAATGCTTCTTCTACTTTGGAAAATAATTAGGTTTCGTTCATGAAACGCGATCAGAACGAATTTGTGTAAATCCGTTTCATTTGTGTAACTGCCATCAGTTTATCAACTTTCAGAATTCATTCTGCTGGCATTTCATGAGGCTCGTTGTAAAATTGAAACCCCATTATTTGCGGAAAGGTGTGCTGAAAATACGTGATATTTGCACGTTAGAACAAAACACAGTTCAGCGCGTCATCTTTCTCTCCAAATTGATAACACACCACTTGTTTGAGTCTTTATAAAAGTTCTTTGTTTCTTTTCGTGACATCAATTGTGAAGAGCACAAGAAAAATAGCTTTAAAAATACTCTACAGAACTACAGTTATAGTGCAAGAACCCGCACACTTCACAATACACGCTCACGTTTCCGCTGCCCGATCTCCAGCATAACCCTGCACACCCAGTCTCCGGCCCTGGCGGCGTATCCGACTCCCGATCCATCGTTAGATTATCCGATATTATTCCCAGAGAATCAGATTCATGATTGAAAAGAGGGGCTGTGCTAACGTCACAAATTAGCTAGAGGAAGACAGTCGGAAAGGGATTTTTTTTTAAATCTTGTGCAAAAGTGACGTAATTCGGATGTCGTTTACAGGCTAGTTGCAAATTATGTTGAAGAAATGAAATCTCACGTTTAGCACCACCATAAAATGATCCGCAACATAAACTTTTCTTGGCACCAAATGAAATTCGCTTTGTCTGGTGTCGGTATCTGTTGTATTGCTTCATGCGGTCGAATCAAACTGCAGTGATTTCGCTCCCTAATGAAACATCTCTTTACAACACAATGCAAAACAAGATACTGCAAATATAACATTTAAAAATCAATGTACTACGGTGTTCGGAAACGTCTGTATCTACAGTAAACCTCAGTTTCAGGAGGTAGCTTTGTGTAGTGCGGCCGGTCCAACACACACACGTCAATCTGAACACACGCTCGGTGGGTGTCGCTATACAGTTGTGACAGTGAGCAACGACGTAGGCAGCTGCCGGGTGTCTCCGCTGGGGCCCAGGCGCGTTCCGTGCGTCAGGAGTTCCTCTACGGTGGTCCAGTCATCCAGCAGCTTCCGGTTCCTCAGGCGACTTAGTTTCCTCTGGCTTAGCTCAAGAAGGGTACTACAACTGTCTCCGTTAGTTCCTCCCACGACTTCGCCACTATACACCAATCCTGACGCAGCTACGCCGCCGCCACCGCCACTTCTGGCCTGCAGCTGTCGCTGTTTCTGCAGCATGTGTTCGCGGCGCTCAGTGCGGCTCCAGTAACGACCCATTCGGACCTCACTGTGACTCTCTTCGTCCGTGCTCATGCCGCTACGCTCATCCGCCAGACGGGATGCTCTATCCCGCAGCATCTGGTTTCGCAAGGCCCGCAGGTTCCCGCTGGATGGTTTCCTGATGGCAGCAGTGGGTGTGTGGCCCTCCAAGGTGCTGTAGAGACCGCCTCCGCCACCTGAGCCTGCACGGTTGGCGGGTTTGGGCCAGGTGTCGTTGGCATCCTGACTGGGCGTGTGACTTAGGGTGTGGAACCTGTTGTTGGGCGTCTGTTGGGTCACAAAGCTCTTCTGTAGCTGCGGTTCGGTGGATGCTCGGATCCTGCTGTTGTCATGGAGTTCTGGAGGCATATAGCAGTGCTCGTCGAATGGAGAGATCAGGGACGGTTGACTCATTGCATGTGTAGCGTGTAGAGTCTGTGTGGGGAGTACAACAGGGTGTGCCGGGTGACTGACGGTGTGCATAAGTGCCGGCTCCTCAGGGAGATTCATGGGCAGGTCAACTCTGTGGCCGCAGGGATGCTGCGTGCCGCTGCAGTAGTTAGGCGAGGCCGGGTGACTCGCCCGTCTGCGGTACTCCATGGGCGCAGGGCGGTGATGCAGCGTCCTGCTTCTTCTCAGCATTCCCGCAGAGCTCGGATGAGGCGGCAGCCGTCGCTGGCTGGAGGGCATACTGCACGTAGAGTACAGTGCGGGATTGAACAGCGAGCCGCTGCTGGAGCTGTGCCTGTTCAAACATGGCCGCTCCACCTTACGGTACTGCACGGACGACACGCGGGATAAACCGCGCGATCCCGGGACGGGCGTGCAGACGTTTTGAGGCTGCACCGTCAGCGTTTCTGGGATGGCCTCTAGGGGGTGTTTTATCTGGCTGTCGCGCCGTTCGCGAGAGCACGGCTCCCCCTGGTGGTGCATGCGGGCGTTGTAATGACGCATGCGTTTCTCTAGCAGACGCTGGAAGCGCAGGAACTCGCCGGTGCTGACACTGTAAAAACCTGAGTCGCTCAGTTCAGACGAGATGAATGACTCAGACGATGGTGACCTGCCGTGGCGCTCCTCGAGCCCCTCCTCCGTCTCCACCCCCGACAGCTCCCCCTGGTGGAAACTACCATCCGTCCATCCGAGCCCACTGTCCAGCTCATGGTGAAGAGGCAGGTAACCCAGGGGTTTCTCCATCATGTAGTCATCGTCATCAGTCTGTCACAAACACACACATATTATTATGACATTAGAGCAGTAGCTCCCAATCCTGGTACTGGAGAACCCTCAACACTGCACGTTTTTGATGTCTCTCTTATCTGACATACACATTTGAGTTTTATTAAGGAGACCTTTAAAATGTGCAGTGTTGGGGGTTCTCCAGGACCAGGATTGGGAAACACTGCATTAGAGCAATAAGCTACTAGAAGTGATGAGTTACAGTGATTTTACTATGGTAAAAAGACTCTGTGTTTTTTTACCTAAAAGCAACCTCTAATGGTGAAAAATTCACTGCAGTGTTTAACAAAAGAGCAGCAATATGACAAAGACACAAGTGTTCGACAACTATTAGTAATAGTAATAAAAAATAATTAATAAAAAAATATATATTTTTTTTAATTTTGGTGCTAGCTCTGTAAAACTAGCCTCCAGAATGCTAGCATGTTCTAAGTGGGTTCTAATGTGTTGCTAAGCAGATACTAAGACATTGGTAGAATACTCTGGGTGGTTGCTAATGTTTAGCTAAGTGGTTCTTAGGGTATTCTAGGTTGGTTTTACTGCATTGCTGTGCAGTTACTAGGACATTGATTGAGTATACTGGATGGTTGCTAATGTGTTGGTAGGTGGATGTTAGGGTATCCCAGGTGGTTTGCCAGCAAATGCATGGCTATGAGTCTAATAGGAGTATTCTGGGTGGTTGCTAGGCGGTTTTTAAATGGTTCAATAATATTGATTTCAACTGATGTACTGTTACAGGTTTGTGCATATTGGTTAATTAACAGCAAACTCATATGTGACCCTGAACCACAAAAGCAGGCTTAAGTCGCTGGGGTATATTTGTAGCAATAGCCAACAATACATTGTATGGGTCAAAATTACATTTTTCTTTTATGCCAAAAATCATTAGGATATTAAGTAAAGATCATGTTCCATGAAGATATTTTGTTAATGTCCTACCGTAAATATATCAAAACGTAATTTTTGATTAGTAATATGCATTGCTAAGAACTTCATTTGAACAACTTTAAAGATGATTTTCTCAATATTCAGATTTTTTTGCACCCTCAGATTCCAGATTTTCAAATATTTGTATCTCAGCCAAATATTGTGCTATCCTAACAAACCATACATCAATGGAAAGCTTATTTATTCAGCTTTCAGACGATGCATACATCTCAAAAATTTGACCCACAAATTGACTGGCTTTGTGGTCCAGGGTCTTTTTAGAAGAATTATGTAGCCTACTTTTAAATGGCTGACAGAAATGTGCAACGAAAACTTTTATTTTTAACGAGTTGACAATTTGAGGCGACACGAGCGTCCGTTGACTATGCAACAAAATTACGCAGAGCTTAACAATATGCAAATGAGCAGCTACAGCCAATAGCATTGCATACAGTAGATACTGCAGTTGAGTAGAAACGCCTACTATTAAGTTAACCCACAATGCAGATTAAATCACTGTCAGTGTGAACGCACCTAAATTAATAAAGAAAAAACATAGGAAAATGTGCTTAACATTTAAATTCAACATGAATTCTATCGATTGAACAGTCCTCTATCGGAGCGCGAGAGTCACTCTGGTGGCTCACAGTCTTCAACCGTATTTATGATAGCTAGTTGCCTGGTAACACATAACTTACATAATATGTGACTCCTCGCCTCTCGGTCTGTGACGGATGAAGAGAATCACACGAGAACCAGAACAACAACAATCCCTCAGATCTGAACTCGCGCCGCTGCTCTACATTCTAGAACGCAGCTTCTAGATTCATTCGGTCTGCATTAATTGGTTGCCGTTGTATTTTGACTATATTATAGATGCATTTCACTACACCACATTATTTTTAAGGCAAGACACTACAGGCAAAAACATTCATCCATATTTTTTCATGCACTGGTTCATTTTGAGATTTTGGGCTTTTTGGCTTTTCAAAATGTTGTTTCAGTGGAAAGAAAGCATCCAAAATATTTAAGTGTTAATTTCAGTGCATTTTATCTATTTGTGTCACTATAGATTTCGAAATCTTTAAAGGCCATTTTCTCAAAATGAGTTTGTTTCTCGAATTCAACGGCACTTACATACACCAGTTTTATTCAGATTTATATTCTGAAGGTTTTTACTGAAGAGTTTGTTTATAGGTCATTTGACTGATTTTATTTTTGCACTTAATCTATTTGCGTCAGTAAGTATTACATATCTTTAAAGGCCGTTTTCTCAAAATGAGTTCGATTCTCCACTTCAGCAGCACTTACATAAACCATACTTAACCGTTTTATTCATATCCATATTCTGAAATTTTTCAATAGAGGGGTTTGTTAATTTATCATTCAAACTGATTTATACAACGTTTTACTGCCTAAAACATGGTCAAATTTTAATTTTTTCCCCTTTTTAAACCTTTAATATGTCAACAAAATCAAATTTTGCACCTTAATTAAGATTGCTGTTCTGGGCATTTATTCGAATTAGTGCATATTTAATCAGATAATGCATATTTAAACATAACATTTCAGAAAGCTAGTAATACCAACAACATTTGCAATTCTTAATGAAATCAATCAGCTGGAGAAGAAAGATGATATATATTAGTTTTTCAGTTTACTTTACCCTAAACACCATGTGATGTCTTGCCTTAAACGTACAATTTGTACACTACCCAGAGTGCACACTGAATGTTCAATAATTTAGCGGTGCTTCGTCAATTATTCCTTAAAGGAACACGCCACTATTTTTGAAAATAGGCTAATTTTCCACCCGGTCATATATTCACGCTGTATTTTGTGACTCTAACCTGACTCTGGAAACTTCTGGGTTCCTCCAGATTGGTGTTGCAGCATCCGATCAGACAGTTCTGTGCCGGAGACACGCCGCTGGAGAACTCATGGTCCTGAAACGAGCACAAAATACCGTTAAACATAGAACCGGACTGCTGTTCATTCCAGAACCAAGTCAATTTTGGATTATCACATCAAGATGAGCATCATTATTACGGATGGTGATGTGATTTCAAACCCTTTCTGCTCTTGTGAGAAGAACATCTGAGCATTTCCGCTGCTTTCCTGATGAATTATTAGCATAATGAGGCTGTGATGTGGAAGAGTGATTATTATAAACGACTGTCTGTCGCTTTATTAAAGGCTGTTTCCTCCTGCGCAATGCACATGTGAAATGTGTGTATATATGTGAATGGCTATTCATTTTTATAAATAAGTAATAAATAATAATTTACTAATGAAATTATACATATTATAAATGCATTATATACATATTATAATTCATTATAAAGTTTTAGCATTTTCTTTCAATAAATGGTAAATTAATAACTATGTGTATCTCATCATGAATATTAACAGCTCACACTCATCATAATCTGATTATGTTAATATCTTACTTTGTAGGCCAGGCGTTCTCTGTGCTCCAGGTCTCTGGGCGTGTTTGGTAGGTACTCGTACCTGCTTCCGTCTCTATGGGTCCCGGGCAGGGTCATGTGATTGTAGTACGTCCTGCGAGAACAACAAACACTCATATATTACACTTGTAAATATCTGTGTGAATATTATATGCTGATAACACAAGTCACGACCCCTTTCTCCAGCACACATCTCTGGCTCCGCCCCCTTCATCTAAGATGCTGTTATTGTGTTTGCAAGGAGCTTCTGACCTCATTCTGATAATAACAGCTGCATAAAGATGCCTAGAAAGAGTATGATGATTATATGAAATATATTACAACTCATATACAATAGTAATATTAAAAATAATTGGCAGTTTAATTATAATAATGATGCTTGTCTTAATAAACACCACTAAATATAACATATACGGTTGCCATGTTTCAAAACGTGTGACTTTTCTGAAAAATCTGCATCAGAATCATAACTTTATTGTTAAGTGTGCTTGCACACACAAGGAAATAAACTGAATTTTGTTATTACAAAAATCGGCAAAATAAGAGTTTTCCTTCATGTTCTGTTTTCACTTAAGGTATACAAACTGCGACTATAATAATATATATTTACAACAATAATTTAAAAAAATTAGTAAACTTTGAAAATCGGCAAAACTTCGCCACGTCACCTGATTAGCGCGTGTTTCCTCAGCGAATACAGCGCGAGAGGTGATTGTACGATTCGCGTGCAAATAACTCTTGTGAACCAGTTCTTTTGAATGAGTCCGTCAAAAAGAATCATGAAACAAACTAGCAACTGTTTTGAATCGGACTCACTCAAGCAGCGAATCGTTCAGAGCCGTTACGCAGTTCCCAAATTAACCGTCTCCCTCACTGAAACGCGCGCCATTTTTCGCATTTGAAAACCGGGAACCGTTACTTCGACTATATGCAGGTTAGTGAGTCTTACTAATATATTTACTAGCTGCTTGTTCATATGTCAACTTGTAATTAAATATACATATTCAAAGCTTTTAAATTGGTTTTTATAAAAATATTATTGGTTATAGCATATAGTGAAGTCCAATGTAAGGTCAACAGGCGGATAATCAACACAGCATTCACCTCTTTTATATAGTCACAAATGTTCTTACAAAACAGTGTGCTATTTATATGACACAAATACAGTCAGTGACAGCATCAAATTGGAACAAACAACACTTATTAGTCTAAAATGTCCCGTTATCACAATGCACAATATTGACTTAAACTAATGTAAGGCTCTATGCACTCAAATCTTCTTCTCAATTGTTGAATTTGGCAGCAAAAAGGTCAACTAAATGTTTCATTTTAGGAGATAATGGCTCCCTAATCATGGTTTTAGTCTGGAGCCACTGCATCCTTGACATTTCCTTCTAGATGGGAAGGGATCTTAATAGTCCAAACATCTTTTCGCTATTTATATTCTATGGTGAGCATTCACCACCACATGCGAAGCTGTAAAATGCAGTGAACGATATAATATGCTTGCGTGCACATTTACATGTGGATGAATGCAAAACCTAGCGTGACTGTGCCTTAAGGCCGCTCACATGCTAGAGACGGCTCTTGATGGAGCGCGACGGATGAGAACATGTCAGAAGTGTTTCGATTTTTTAAATCCAGTGAGAAGGCATAACTGGACCCGCCCCTTTGACATTCTCACTGGTCAACTTTTGATCACATGACCAAGCAATACTTTGGAAAACCCTTGTGTTTTTTGTCCTTGCACACAAAAAGCATATCACTAAGCTCAGATATGTAGTGTATCCACCTTATTTTGCAATGCAGAAGCTACTTTATGTGAATTGACAAGACTTGCGATCCATTGGGTAAATAGCTAAAAGAATAGTAGTGCAAAAGGTGATGTCCAATTCACGTTCTAATGGCTCTTGTGAACCAGTTCGTTTGAATGAGTCAGTCAAAAAGATTCACGAAACCACCTGAAACTTGTTTTGGAATCAGACTCACTCAGTCAGTGAATCATTTACGGAGATTCATTAGATAAATAACTAGAAGAATAACAAAACATGCAGTAAATGGTAAAACTGTCTGCGTTACAAATCAGTGTGATTATGATAATAATGAAAATAATATGATAGCAAATACCAGTTCAAGCAGTATAACGGACTGTTTTTGTTCAGGAAAAATAACTATACTAGAATAAAGGCCAGTTCACACCAAGGACGATAACTGTAACGATAACTATGTTTTAATAATCGTTCAAATTCAATGAGAACAGGGAAGTAAGTACACACTACAACTATAACGATAACAACACAGAAAAACAATATCGTTGGAATCATGATTTTTTTCCAAGCATGATTTTTTTGAGCAAGCTCAAGCATTTAAAGCACCAAACTGCAGTGTGCTGTATAATAAACATAACGTAATGGTGCATTGGTGTGGATGCTAATATAGTTACCGTTTTAGTTATCGTTATAGTTATCGTTTTTGGAATGAACACCAGAAACCTTGCACATCCAAGTTAAAAATGGCTGTGTTTGCTCTTACGTTAAAAATAAGTACGCAAGCACTCTAAAAAAATTCGTTCACACAGGACACATTCTTCATTTCAATAAGCAACAGAATTTAAACGAATGCAATAAGCTACTAATTTTTACTTGATAGAATGTTAAAAACGCAGTGCTCATAATATGATTAGACGAAGAGCATTTTTAGCAACAATTAAAACGCAAGATTGCGTTGTGTGTGAACGCTTCTCAAGTGTACGTCTATGTTTGTCATGCAGGTGGCAGCAGTGAGCTACAGGTGTGTCGCACCTGTCCGAGGGAGGCAGTCGCGGTAGGGTGCACGAGTGCGGCCGGAGAGGGTCCCACGGTCGCTCCGTCTGCGTGCTGCAGTCCGTCGTCCTGTTGTACTGCAGGCTCCGCCCCCGGCCCTCAATCTGAAGCGTGATTGGCTGCTCGTAGCTGGCCAGGATACGGAAGGCCTCTCGCTTCTGCAGGTGGGTCAGGTCCTGACCGTGAACCTGAATGACAGGACAATCGACAGACAAGCGCAGTGACCGGAAAGCTTGTGATTAATTTGAGTCCTCGTTTACGCGGATCTCGTGCGTTCAGCCGTTTGGCGTACGCTCTATTTCACCTGATTCGGTTTATCTTACGCACACACTACTATAGTGAAGCGCAGCTGTGTAAAGATATTTCCCTGCCTACAGACCCGATCCGTCCGGGACTGAGCTGAACCTCAGGCTCACACACACACACGCGCGTTATACTCATGATGAAAATAATGCTGCATCTTCATACCAACACACATCACTGCATGAGTCACAGGAGAGAGACGGCACATGTGTATGTGTGTGTGTGTGAAATAAGATGTGGTGTATCAGCATCAATGTCACTCCTGATCACCATCAGCACACACACTCGTGAGCATTTACACACAATTACACACACACTGGACTCACCCCCATCCCGTCGCCCATCCACGGCCCTGACAGTCGACAGCCCATCACCACGGCAACAGATGAGCAGGATCGTGCACCGATGCTGTGAATTCACTGATGAAGATGAAGGGGATGAAGGAGCGATGCAGCCGTTGCTGGCATACATGAACACACACACACACACACACACACACACAGAGCTGTTCTAAGTGAGACGCGCAGCAGAATCAGACACACAGACGTAGCGTTGTCTCTCCTTTCTCTCTCTCTCTGAGCACTCGCTCCAGAACACAGACACTCCAGCACTCAGGCCCTGCCCACCTCTGCCACGTCCCCGCTGTGATTGGCCAGGCAGCCATGTCTGTTGGCGGAAAGCGAGAGCTGATTGGCTGGCGGGGTTCAGCCCTCATCAAACGCTCGTGGACTGGGTCTCCGCCATTCAGTCGGAGCTGTGAAGACATAAATATGCACTTAATTAATGAGGGGAATTAATTAACGCACTCATCACTAGTCCTAGTATTAAAGTATTAAAGTTGAGTGTGTGCATCGTCCCTAAATCAAGAGCTGTGCTGGTACTAAGTGATCGGGTGCACCATTTTCACCTGCTACACCAAAGAAATCACACAAAATAAACATGAAAAGAAACTGCATAGCATCCACCCACAACACTGTAGCAAATATATAGCAATGTTAGGATTCTTGATATTTTCAAAGGACTGATACTTAAATGAGACATATGAAATAGCAACGAAACAAGAACAAATGTCTGTGTTTAAAGACAATAACTAAACAAATGACCTATGCTGGTGTATTTCTGGCTCAGATGTGGCTCTTTTATAACTTAATGGAGATCTCACTTTGGTTTCATTTATGTATCAACTAAATCTCAGATGTTTCTCCTGAAATACTTTGAGAGAAATTAAAATGTAAATAGCAGCATTTTTGGAATTCATATTCTTGGAGTCAATTTTGAGATCTCAGACTTTCTCAAACTGTGCTCAGAGCTCTTCTATAACTTTAGAAGACACAACACATGAGATTACAGGGGTGTTTTTCTCAGTAGAAGCTGGAGACGTCAGGAGAAAGCCTAGGAGAAACAACTGAGATACTAAAGAGACCTCTCTGCACCATGCCAGCGTGTTTTCGTTGGGTTTTTAAAGATTTTGAGGCCGAGTTGCCCTGCTAAACTCACTGGTGGGAGATTCGGGACGTGAGCGGAGCTGACAGCCATCAGGAACATGCATGCGTCGTCTCTCCTGCGGGCAACACATGCAGCGAGGAAAGTGCAAATCTGTGTCAAGCCATCAGAGGTTCCAGTAAACCAGAAGAGAGGCATGAATAAATAAACTCAGTGTCCTTAAAGCCAGGGCTCTGCGAGCGGCTCGGAGGAGAATTATGGGAGAGATGGAGACAAAAGGATGTGAAAGAATCAAGTCAGAGCACAAGCACTCGCGCTGGAGGAAAACCTGTAACGCAAATACAGCATCCGAGGTCAGGTTGGTTAGTTGTTATATATAAACACATAGGAATAATGTTGTTGGACTTTTAAAGCTCAAGAAACCTCACTGAGTTCTCAGGATCCACTTTGTCTCAGATGTTTCTCCTTAAAGAAAAGATGACAACAAATAAAAAACTTAATGTGGACAGCGGCTCAGCTCATTTGCTCTCGGGAGAATTTGATGAGAAATGTTTGAGTTCAAATTGAGATCTCCGATGTTTTTGATTGGAGAATTCGGAATCTGAGCACAGTTTGAGACTTAAGAATTCTTTCTGAAATTCTGAAGTTGAACATCAGATTATCGGGGTCTTTTTTCTCAGGAGAGACATCTGGGAAGCAGGAGACACACCAGCGGTCTTATCTAGGAGAACAGCTGAAATATTGTGCTGATCGTTGTGTAGATTGTGTTTAAAGAGCTTCAGGAAGGTGGTGCAAGACGCTGTAGATCAAACCACCAGTTACGAGACACACACTCTCTCTCTCACACACACACACACACACACACACACACTACACACACACACTGCTGGAGGGACGTGTCAGCTCAGATCAGAGGAGACAGCAGTTGCACTGCAGGCGGTGTCTGTGTGTGTGTGTGTGTGTGTGTGTGTGTGTGTGTTTGCAGGAGGACACACACCACTCCTGTGGGATTACCCATAATGCCCCAGCTCACCTCCAGATGGCGACGTCTCACTCCTGTCTCAGAGGACACACGGCACG